TTACTGTATGTTGAAGTATGCGAACAGTATTTACATACATATATATTTATATATTAATTCCTATATATTTACATACATATAAATATTTTATATGCATTATATATATATATATATATATATATATATATATATATATATATACTCACATATATATGTTTGAATGTGTGTGTGTGTGTGTGTGCCAGTGTCTTTGCTTACAGATTGCGTGATGTTTCCTAATAAAAACACTGAAAAAATAGTATTGGATTATCTGAACAATTTTAGGCCACTGTGTATTTATTTCAACCACATATTTATTTCTATGTGTTTTTTCATATACATACATACATATATATATATATATATATATATATATATATATATATATATATATATAATTCCTTTTCATTTCCATCTATCTTTCTATCTATCTATTCTTCTCTAGTCATATACGTTTTTTTTTTCAACACAAGTAATTATTTATTTTTATTTCAATCTTGCCCGAGAGACAACCGTGCTATGTCTCAAGGGCCCCGCGATACTTTCTCAAATCGTACGGCACGTCTTCCTTATCGGGCATACGTCACAGGTTTAGCAACAATCAGGTTTTAAAAAAGAAATTCAAAATGGTAGAATATAATATAAATAAAATCAGGGAAAAAAGTTAGGGGAAAAAAATAAAAACGGTACTTTCAATTTCACTGTTTTTCTGTACACATTTATGTTTTGCGCATCTCTTCAAATTTCTTTACAGTATCACGAATCGTCAAATCCCTTTCCACTTTTCCATGCAACCGTCAATATGGCCGCAAGGAAACGAAGTCGACGACGTTGGCGCTATCATTTTATATCACCGGATTGATTTTACTAGTATGTCCGCAAGGAAATGAGAGTTCTACTTTATTTTTTTACAAATTTAAAATTCTTCCTACTTCCCAGACTTGCCCGTATATATATATATATATATATATATATATATATATATATATATATATATATATATTACATGTTTATCTGAAATTTTTGACAAATTCATTTTAATCGCCGTGTTTAGCACTTTTATTATTGTCTTTTAAACGATGGATATAAAGAAAACTTGAATCGGAATCATAAATCTATATCTTTTTTATACTAATCTCATATATACTAGTTTCATCCAATAGATGGCACAAGTGCCTAAAAAGTTAAAGGATTACTCTATGAGGTATGTTATATAAACGTAAGAGGAAGAAGTAGGTGCAATTCATGAGGATATGGTGTATATATAACGCTTGATATGAAGAGGTTAATATTTAGTTGATTAAGGAAGCATTCGCACGGGAGTCTCTTCAAAAATATATCTGGTATTGGACAAAAAGCTTTTTGTGTGGAAAATCCTTCTTAGAAATGATATAAGTAGAAAATGATTGTGATTAAACTATGTTGAAGTAGAGTGATTGGGTGATTTATTTGTTTTTACCGATTCCCAAACCGTTTTTTATTTTTTTGTTATTTAAGGCCGTAACATTTTGAAATGTAAGAATAAGAATATATACACATGAAGATAAATTCGCGTCAGTATTTATATTTATATATATATATATATATATATATATATATAGATAGATAGATAGATAGATAGATAGATAGATAGATAGATGTGTGTGTGTGTGTGTGTGCGTGTGTGTGAGAGTTTATGTATGCATGATAGAGTGATATTCGCAGATAGTAAAAACTTGTTTCATCTTTAGCCATTTATTCAAATTTTGCAAAGCGTGTTGGGACCCTCTCGAATATGTTTGCACGATTGTCTACATCCAAAGATTATTATATGCATATAATACTCTATATTTACATATAATACACTATATATATATATGTGTGTGTGTTTGTGTGTGTTTGTTTGTTTGTGTGTGCATGTCAGTGCGTGGGCTGTGTGTGTCAATAGAGTTAAGACATTCGGATTATTAACACAAAAAACAGAGAATGTCTCATATCGAGAATATTTGATATTGAAAAACATAAGGAAAAATTATTTTTAATAATATGTGGAAATCTCCGCCTTTTACCTGAAGACGGTCGCGAGACCAGAAACACGTGTAGTAAAATTATGGACAATAAAGCATAATATTTTTTTTTTTTTAAATCCACATTACAACTAACAACGTTTGCGGTAGCGCTCTTCTTTTTAATATACTCACTTTTCTCTCGTTGGAACTAATATAACCTCGTTTAGTTACTAACAAGCATAAGTATACAGGAAGCAACTTGTATTGACAAATACATTGTTGAATGATTCAGTTATTATTTATTACATAACTAATATCATTTTATCTCTCCCTTCAGAGCCCTCAAAATGACCGATAAATAATTGGTAATTCGTGCTTGTCTCTTGTATGAGTTTAAACTTGCTACCAGTGCATCATGTTCTTCTCCTAAGCTATGTACAGCCTTTGACGAAGGTGCAGTGAGTGAACAAACTGCAGGTAATTGGTTTCAGAAGTTTCGTTGTGACAATGAAACCCTCGAAGATGAACCTCGAACTGGGCGACCAATATCCCTAAACAATGAGGCTTTTAAGGCAGCCATAGAATCAAATTCAGGTTGAACATGTCATGAACTAGTTTCGCGGTTTAATGTAAGCGGTGAAACTATAAGACTGCATTTGCAACAGCTGGGGAAGAAATGGAAATTAAGCAAATGGGTGCCATATGACTTAACAACAGGAAACAAACTGCAGAGGCTTACCATATGTTCTTCTCGTCGCAGTAGACTAACAAAAGAACCCATTTTTGATCGGATTATGACATGTTATGAAAAATGGATC